TCATCATCGGCTCTGGACCCGTGGCTCTAGGAGCTGCACAAAGACTCTACGATCTCAGACAAGGTAACAGCAACACCGTCATCACTATCCTGGAAGAGCTGGACAGGCCAGCTGGCCTGGACTTGCCTGAGAGAGATGAACAGGGCTTTCTCTGGGATACCAGGGTTTATGAAGACCTCTCCCATTACACCTACTTCAATCAGATCCTCAACCGAGCAATCACCGAGTGGAACTACCGACGCCGGGCGCCGTTTGCCTTCATGAAAGGATCTGATGGACTGAGAAGATTCGTCCCTTACCCCGTGCAAAACAACATACACATCATGGATAAAGGCGATCAGCAGAAATGCCTCTCCGGACTGGAAGAAATTACCAGAAATCAAGCCAGCCACATACCAGAAAATTTGGACCAATGGCTGGTTCAGAAATTCGGAGCAGGTCTCAGGGATGTGTTCATGAGGAAATACTACAGGAAATTCTGGACGATGGACACCACAGAATTGAACTCTGTCTGGATTGGTGAGCAGGCTGCCGTACCAGACATTGAAGAGATCAAAACCAAGATTAAAGAAGTAGACAACGGGACAATCGTAAAAACTGTTGCCCCTGAACCCAGCACTTTGTTTCGTTTCCCCAAATACAACGGGACAGGTGGAATATGGGAGGCAACTGCAAGACTGCTTCCTGAAGAATGGTTTAAATTCCACCAAAAAGTCACAGGAGTCAATGCCGACGAGAAAGTTATTACAGTGGAGGTAGGCCAGCATACCAAATCCCTGTACACTCTGAGATACGATACTTTAATATCCACGGTCCCTCTGGATACTTTCATCGGATTACTCAAGACCAGTGACTCATCTTTAGTACAAATACAAGAGTTGGTATCTCAGCTTTTGTACACTCACACCCACATCGTGGGCATCGGACTAAGCGGTCAACCTCCAAAGACCCTCGCCGAGAAATCCTGGGTGTATTTTCCGGACTCTGATTCCCCTTTTTACCGCGTGATGATGTACTCAAACTTTTCTGAGGATCTTGTTCCCAAAGCGGGCCTGTATTGGTCGCTTATTTGTGAGGTTACCGAACCCATGAACAGTCGAAATACAGTGCAGTGGAGCAAGACCAATTTGGTAGAAGCGACNGATAGACTCCTTAGTCTCTTATGGATTTATCACAGGTGAAATGGTAGTCTCCAAACACTACAGGCGACTAAATCATGGATACCCTGTTCCTTCACTAAAAAGGGACGTAGTTCTAGATACCATACAGCCCTGGCTCTTGTCCAAAGATATTTACTCCCGTGGACGGTTTGGCGGATGGAGATACGAGGTTGCCAATCAAGATCACTTATTCATGCAAGGAGTCGACATTGTGGACAAAATAGAACAGGGCGTTTCAGGGCTAACATACTTGCACCCGAGTCTTGCCAACTCCAAGAAAAACACCGATCGGGTCATTCCACTGGACTACGAGTTCGTCATCGCTCACTACAGCGAAGATCTTGAGTGGCTGAAACCCTATGCCGAACACACCATCGTGTACCACAAGGGAAACGACCCGGGTCCGCCCTTCCGGTTACACGATTGGGAGCGACTGGAGAATGTCGGGCGCGAATCTCACACGTACCTGCACCACATCGTGACCAACTATCACCAACTGGCCAACGTGACTGTCTTCGCCCAGGCTGACCACCTGAAGGGCCGCTGCTTCAAAGACATCCACCAGTTTGTCTCCTCTGCCAAGAAGGGCGTCCCGTGTCTCGGACTCCTGAAACTCCACACCGACTGGGGACGGATCCCTTTCACCAAAGAATACCTGGAGAGTTTCAAAAACCGTCCAATAGACAGAGCGAACGTGACTTTCGGTGAGTTCTACTATCACCTGTATGGCGTTCTTCCGCCAGCTAAGGGTATTGAGAACTGCCGAAATGGCTGCTTTGGAGCTACCAAGGAGATGATCTGGAAACATCCCATCGAATTCTATCAGAAAGCTATGAGCTTCGTCAGTAAATCTTCAAATGGAGAGGAGGGCCACTATTTGGAGAGAATATGGTACCATTTCTTTGCTTGAAGATGCGAGTTACTGTGATCCACATTGAATTTAAAATGGACGTCTGAGAAATACTTATTTATTAATAAAGCAGGGAAACATACTGCCTGGCGATATGCGAGACTATGGGGGTACATGCCAGTGAGCTTAACGTTTGAGTGATCATCAAGCAACACTGTTGATTCGCATCTTCTTCATCTTTGGTCAAACAAGTGCAAGAACAACAATAGAAGCAGCAACGACAAAGACGACGACAGCAGCGACAACGAGGAAACCAACAACAACAACAACAACAACAACAACAACAACAACAACAACAACAACAACAACAACAACAACAAACAACAACAACAACAAAACCACCAAAAATAATATAAAATCTGTTAATAAAAACAAGCAAAAACCAATAAATATTTTTCCCGGAGGAGGAAAACAGATAACAAAAACTTGTCTTGCCGGCAAGGCTGAACAGAATAACATGATTTGATTTGTGGAGATGACAAACAAAATCAAGTCTTTGGGGGCACCCTGTATAGTACCGTACCGGTGTATAGGAGCCGAACACGCCTCGTGTTCATGTGTCATGAAGCCATTTTTTTGCTTAATAATTTCTTGAAATTATTAACTAATTAAAGAAATATGGCGGCTTACAGTATACAGTCGTCTTCGCTGTTTTTGCCTGGCAAACCGCATGGGAATTATGTAAGAAATGCTTTGGTCTTGACTGTGAATAGGGGGCCATAATTAAGTTTTGTTGCTTGAGGTTTATGGCACTTATTATCGATCTTGAATTTAGGTTTAGCATGCCCAAGGGAAATATAAATGATTAAAACAAGACCTGATATTTTTCAACAAGGCAACCATCTGTGGAGTGCTTGATCAGTGTCTATGAACACAGAGGAAACCTAGTGCCCGTGTATCCAACCGCATCGGTTGACAAGAGCAATGTTGGTGGAGAGTGCCCACTCTGTTGAAAAATCAGCTCCCGTTGAGAGCAATTTTGCTGTAAGCTAATTTGTGTTTACAGTTGGCGTCAAGTAAGCAATTACTTCCTAAACGACTACAGTCGAACCCTGGAAAAAGAGCACGGCTAACGCGGTTTCCTATTTACAAGGGAAGTTAAGGTACTAAGTCCTTGCGTTCTTTGTTTCCAAAGTAAATTCAAAGTATCTGTCATGATAGCTTAAATAGTTCTAGCGACCCTGCTATACGGTGACCGTCTGTATTAAGACCAAAGATCGTATAGCGCCGAAGGCGCAAGATGTATAACTCTGCCCAAAAGATGTAATTAACATGGGCGGCATATATATATATATGAGCAAGCCCTACGCCTGCGCAGTTTACGGTAATGCTTGGGCGCAGGCTCACCAGGTGCACGTGCCTGCCGCGGCGCGCGCGCCTGTGCATTAATGTGCATTGCGCAGGCGTATCGCTTGCTTAGATGGCGCTCATGCGATTACAACGTTTTACTTGCATTCACGGTGAAGTTCGCCATCTTGCGCCGCTTTGCTTAAGACGATGCCTACATGTACTAAATCAGCAAACTGTATTTTCTCATGCAGTCACACTTGTAGTTGAAAATATCGATCACACAAAACAGAACAAAACATTCTATGCGCCCCGTCTAGATCCATAGAGTTTGGGAAATTTTGTACATTGCATAATTCCCTAGCAGAACAGTCGACTATTCTTTTCATTTTTTGTGTCAAGAGTTCGGAGTCTGGAAGTCAGACCGGAATTAGAAGCCACTACTGCGGTGGCACAAGGCTCGTGGAAATTGTATCGTATTTATTCAAAATGGTCCTGACATCGTCAGCATACATTACAGGCTGGGTTTAAAAGATGCCTTCTTTTGTTAAAAAAAAAACAAAAAAGACGAGTGCGGTAGGCTAATTTTTGTCATGGGAATTTATTTGGACAGTCAGATAGTTAACTCTGAGTAGTCGACTGGTGTAAGTAAAGTTGTCTGGCTGCTTTTATTTCGGAAAAAAATGTTCAAAGTTCCCGACAATCTGCACAAAGCTACCATATAACTAGGTCTCTATACTGGCGACAGTTAAAAGACAGGTTTCAAAAGACAGCGATGATGCAGGCCCTAATGCCCTACATGTATGTGTGGGGCTAAGTCGTGCCCACTGCCCATTATCAGGTGCATGTCGAATTGTTATTGTAACGATTCTTTAAGTTGTTCAACTTATTACAGGATGGAATAAATATTTATTGAATGTAAGAACAGCCATACCGTTAGAATTGTTTTTTAACAAGATTGAGGACTCGGAGGGGAGAGGATACATGATTACCGGAACTAAAATCCCATTCAATATTGTCCGCCATCTTGTTTTGCACCATGCATCCTAATCATGAATGCCTTCAATGTGGCCCAACAAGCATCACTTACGTCACGTGGACCACGTACCAATGTGCCACTGTGCGGGCATGGTGAAATTGGCCCCCTAGCGCGCGCTGCGGCGGAACCACCTACCCTGCTACCAGTCATGGGTTGCACGTTCGAGTGAGCTACTATGCCCACGCATCCTACCAAGCTACCAAGAGTAGCCGCTCAAGCACATGGGTTTACAACATTTACCAGAACATGACGTAATTTGACACGACGCCTAAGACGAGAAAAGATGGCGAATAATCAAAACAAAACAGTCAAAGTCGGTGTAAAGTGTGCCTTTCCAAACGTCTTGAAAACCTTTCCGAGCAAATTTAGAAAAGATGCCGTGTAAATATCGTGCTTTTATTTTTTTCGCGTCTCTAAAAAGTGGGGGAATCGTTCCCCCGCCCCCCCGTCCGACGGCCACGTCTATAAACCCCGTTTAGTTTCCAACAAAACAGAACTAGTTCGTTCATATAATAATGCGAAACGTAATGTCCTATCACGACCTTCAATGACGTATAATTGCGCGTCACCGGGGACGTGAGCGAGCGCCCTCTTTTGATCAACAAAATCATTCAAAACGAAATACATGTAGTATTAATTAGCGAGATTAAATTCTTCACCACACTGTTAAAACAAAGTCGCACCGTGAGGGGTTGATGCATAAAATGTATTGTCAGGCAATGTGATCGTGTTCAGATCTTGTTTTAATCTTTTGATACATTATAGAATTTTATCCTAATTTGCCATCTGTAAAATGGTTTCTTAATCCGAATTGAATCGACACTCTTCTACAATTCTAAAGTTCAGTGTTTAAAACGTCAATTTACAGTATTTGATTCTCTTTTCAGTTACTATTTTCATGGACAAAATTCATTTTACCGACTGCAATACTGTACATTAAATTTCAATCCCTTCACTTTCTTTTGTTCTGAAACAATCCAATGATATGAATTACCAGCTTCTTAGAGTAATCAAAATGCAAGGCAACTGCAGGTCTTGCTCATCAACTGCACCTCGTTAATTTTAAGCCATCAAACACCACTTTTAAGTTTACAATATGTAATTACAACCTGCAATGAAACATATTCATATACAAACGATGATTTCAGAGCTACTTTCAAGCAATTTGAATAGTTTTTACTGCATTAGTGCATTAAGGTTTTAACTTTCAACTTCGTACATAATAATCATTATTGCCGTCCGCATTTAGACATGTATTTTAGTGTTTGTGTAGGCCAGACCCTGCAAAACTTGCTACAAACTGTTATATCCTTCCACGCTATCTATGGCCGATGTAATGAAACATGAATATTAAGTTTTAGTGCCTAATGAGAATAGAGAAATGTACCATTTTAGAGCATTTGGCTTAGTAAACTCTTGTTAAACTTAACCTCTAACTTTTGAATATGGCCATCCATGTTCGCTCAAAAAAGTGACCCGTTTCCGGGTTGGAGTGAGAGTTGACATAGGAGATGGCCTTTTTGTAAAATGACAACGGATGCTTTCTAATCATTCCTTTAGTTGCCGCAAAACATCCACAATGGCAGAACGGAACACCCCCTAGCGGCGGCTTCGAACCCATAACATCCTGGTAAAAGTAGGCATAGGTCACATTGGATAGCAAGAGGTCCCTGTATTTCGGGTTCCTGCGAAAGCCTGGCTTGAAGGGGATTCCCTTCATGTATTTGTAATTGTAGCCGGCATACTGACAAGGAATTCCCCTCTTGGCCAACCTGTAGAACCCCATTGGATCGCTGGGCATACAGGCCCCGTGGTTTTCAATCTCTCCCTGCAAGAAGATGGTTACATTAGACAGCCGATCGTAGTTCTTGAGAATGTGATGCAGGTAAGTGTGGCTCTCACGACCAACGTTCGGCAGTCTTTCCCAGGCATACATTTGGAATCTTGGACCCGTTTCAATACCTTTGTGGTACACGTGGGCGTGGTCGGCGAAACGTTTCAACCAGCTAATGTCCTCGTTGTAATGCGAAACAACAAACTCATATTCCAGCGGAGCACGTATCGTCTGGGTGCCGAGCAGTATTCTGTCCACGAGCTCAACCCCTTGCATGAATGCGCGGTCTGGATTCCCGACTTCGTACTGCCAGCTGCCAAACAGCCCCCGAGAATAAATATCTTTGGACTGCAGCCACGGGTGTATCGTATCCAGTATCATATCCCTCTTGAGCGTAGGAACAGGATTTCCGTAGTCCAGTCGACGGTAGTGTTTGGAGACTACCGTATCAGCTGTGATGAACCCATAAGAAACTAAAGTGTCAATT